AAACCGGCGAATGTCAGCAATTAGCGTCCCTCGAATACTATATGAAAGTGGAGTGAGCATGCCCACGAGGGAGAACGACAGGGCCCCAATCATTCCGAATGTTCCGAGACTTACTCAAGGAGGAGGGTGGCGTGGGAGTTCTGAGGGCGTGCAGAGGTGAACAGTTCGTGAACAGTATTGTTGGGAGGAGGTCTGAGACCACGAGCACTGGGAAGGCGCCAAACGACGCAAAACCTGAATAAAAGGCGATTGGATGTTTCAGGTGAGGGCGGCGAATGAGATGAATGAGAATGAGCGTTGAACTATATCTCCGGACTGTGCAGGCTCCAAGGAATCTGGCGCGGCATCGTCCATCTCCATGGCCAGCATGAGAGACGCGAAGAACGTTGGGCTTGGTTTTGATGGCAAGACATCCCTAAATTTGGAACGGTGTATACAATGCGGCTCTATAGCCCAAAGGAAGGGCTAATTCAATGCGACGAGATCACGAGCCCAAGCAACTGTGTGTGCAAATCTGCCAACCAGAGTTAGTACAGAGAAGTTATGATCTCTGCTTGGACTGATACATGTGAAAAACTTATCAGTTGTTGGGAACGAACGTTGGCCTCTCGTAAAATCAATTCCGCTGACATGTGTATTAATTCTGCACGCTTGAGGAAGATCGAGAAGATACCATTATCACAACAAATTCCTCTATAACACCCCCCTTCGCGCGATGTCATACCTCTCGCTGCACCACTTCTGACAGTTCATGATGGGACTGATCACCTTTCACGACTTCCACATCCTCCATCGTCCCAAAATATACCCAACACCCGCTGAGCTATTTTGCCTTTTTCTCACCTGATGTTGCCCTCACAAAGACATATCTGGGTCTGTCGAGCGTCCCTTGGTGCTAGTAGATGTGGTTTGACTTGCACAATATCTAGTCATGCTTGCGTTCAGACTCGGCGGAATGGGTAGAAGCTACGGGGGGAGATGTAAATGAGGGTTCGCACGACTGTCGATGCAATATCTTTCTGTGGGTTGACTGGAGTTGATATATCGGGTATATTGGACTCCAACGATGCACCAGACTTCGCAGGTCAACAATGACGATGTTCTCGAGTGACATCTATCCACTCTGCCCCTCGTGATCATTTGAGTAGTATGCGATAGTGAACGTGTTGTCTAATTTTGAAAGGGGCGTCCGCTTCGTAGGGCGTTTTCACCCACTGCCGACCCACCAGTAACCAGTCCCATTCACCAATGCTACTACACCCGTTCATGGTTGCGGCACTCCGATAGTATTACAACGCAATGCACAGTAGAGGCTTCCGTCCATTATCACCGTCGAGAGGCCGATTCCGCTCCTATTCCATCGAGTAAGGACCATTTATATCTTTGAATGATGGCGGCTGCATTTGTGGGACTGCATGGCGCAACGCGGGAAGGGCCCCATCGCTGAACTTATAAAAAATCATCTGCGTCTGACGAATTATTTCCCCACCTTCTTCCTAACCTAGCCGGCCTGTACCACATCCATGAAGTGTCTTTCCCAGAAGTCATATTACTGTCTTTCTCTTGTCCCAAGATCCTTAGTTCTGAGCAGCGTACGCCAGATATTATTATCCCCCTGAGGTGCGCTGTTACTGACTTAACCCCCCCGATCGAGTAGGTCGGGTTGTTTCTCTATGGTGAGTTATCCAATTTTCACTTTCAAATGGAATGAACTGAGTACACGATGAACACCAGGCATATACACGATCCTCTACATCTTGTGCATGTATATTCTTCTCACCCGCAAACGCGAACGTTACCGTGTACATGTTGTACTGATCACGGCTCTCTATCTCGCCGCTACCGTCGAAGTCGGGTTCAAGAGCGCTCTCTACATACTACAAGGTCAGGTCGACCTATACAAGTATACCCTCGATCTTCCCGTGCTTTCTCCGACCTCTGCAAACTTTACGTCCGAACAAGATCAATATCGCAAGGATATCCTAGAGGAATGGGAGGCTACCTTCCGCCATCCCAGGTGACTTGCATCAGCTATCAACTTCCATTAATTTCTCCCGACTGACAGCCGTCAGCCCCGGTCCGTATGGGTACTTGTCAAGCTTGAAGGTCATTACCATCGTCGCAAAGTCAGACCATTTCTATATTACCTTCGATCTCGGTTAGGATCTGAAAATCCCCTCGAGTCTCAACTTAGCTGCCTGACAGACCTCCTCTTGGTGAGCCTGGATCGAAGTATTGATCAAATTCCAGGGGCGATTATGAATGAGAACAGCTATGGCGTTCTTATCTCGTTTGGGGACATAAAAGGGTGATTCTGGCCTCGTGTTCGATTGCTATCTTGGTAAATGGTATGTCTGTGTCAATCATGTCTCACTCTACGTACTGACATAAAGCCCTAGTGTATGGCTGTGTGATCACGTTTTGGGACTGGGGAAACCCAAGCTCAATTCGAGATGGAGGTCCCGGCATCGTCTATTTTGCGATCTTTGCGATCGGCGCCCTGATTAGCAACCTCCTGTTGACTGTATTGATCGGTGAGCATGATCCACCCACGCTCAAGTACGCTGGTACTTATTATTCCCATATAGCCGGAAGAATATTGTTCATTGCTCACCGAGTGGGCAAATACCTCCCGTTCCGCACGTCTATCCCGAGAATGTATAGGACTATCTTATTAGCAACGTAGGCAGGACTGGTGTTTCGTTCATTGCAAACACATCCTCACATAATCCTTTGCCTACCAGACTGGAATCGGGATTGATATACCCAATCGGGCTCATCATCTACGCCACCTCGGTCTCGCAGCGGTTTCGCGGGTACAACGAGGAATGGTTCACCACAGAACTAATCGCCGATGTGGCTTTCGACTCATTGGTGACCATCATGGTATGCATTTCCTCACGCAACCTCTGAGCTCGTCATACATCTTTTATGTTTCAAGGGAATCGCGTCTACTATAATCATCGTGCGAGTAGCACTCGGAATCGCCATTTATGATGAACAGTCATTTAAAGACACCATCCTCAGCAGCATCAAGCCAACCCATGCGCAACATAACCGCTCTGAAAGCATAATTGATATCTGCCAACACGCCGGACCAGCTGAAGAAAGCTCGTTGTCCCAGAGGACGGTCACTCTAGACTTGGAGGGTCAGACGAGAGCGTGAGCAGGCTGTACTCCCACAGCCTCCGCGACTGTGTCGTCAATAGGTGCTAGCATCCCCGATACTTACAGACTTTGCAATTGTAGCTCTACGTATCTCACCCCGACTCGTTAAGTACATGTATGATACCCTGAGGACGCTGCGAGGAATTTGGACAATTGCGATACGGAAATCTGTACTCCACATATACTTGAAGCTCTTCTCGTTCTACAAATTCAATCGGGTCAAACTCAACCAGATCCTGCGATCTCAAGTCTATGGCGGCATAACCTGTGGCAGATTCTCCCAACAATGCAATTATAAGTCCTCGTTACTTGTGGCCAACCTGGAGGTTCCAAGAAATGGTGTTGAACAGCTGGAGGGTCGTAGGGCACGAGCGAGTAGTTTTAGTTTAGGATACTGCATCATAATTGCTATCGGTGTGGGCGGGTTACGGGGTTCAAAAAGTCTAGGAATAGCTGTAAAGGTATGGTGATGCCAAGATGATCCCGTGCGGACGCGTACAAGCTAGAGTGCCGATACGCTAGCCACTGCTCGTTCTCTAATTGAGTGCCGCCGAATCTTCCGGCGACTCAATGAATCGGCGATATCGGCTGTCGAGAAGCCTTTGCTAAGGAATAACAAATGACGTCGTGAACGCTTTCAGACGCTCCCTCAACCACGACTATGATTGTACCGAAATTCCCTCTGTCTCCTTGCTCTATCTTCTTTTCGTGCCGGTTTGAGGAGCTTTCAAGTTTCGAGTGTGTCTGTACCTACAACCGAATGTCTCTAATTGACGCGCCTCCAGACGACAATGGAAGGGAACTGCACGAGCCTTAGGCCGCACTTTTCGGTCAGCAATTTTGCAACTCGGGGTTGGAGGCGGTTTGGGAGCTGCGGGCCATGTAAGGTACGTCAGGGTCTACATGTTCATATCCTTATTTGCGCGACTAAAATATTGGTTCTGTTATAAACTTCCGACCCGTCGAGAGCTTCTCACGGTTCACCCACGTATGCGAGTTGAACGATTGAGCGATGAATAATGTCCGGCCCTACTGGTATAGTGTCAGGCTGGTCGTAGTGAGCACGCAGCTCCCGGTGTCTCCTTCTGTGGTCTACTTTCCCCCCTTCCATTCGCTTCGTTTCATAACTCTCTTCTCCCACCGCTTGCAATTGCATGCCAAAGTTATACCATCCTCTCAGCAGGTAAATCCGTAAAAGACGTCAAAAATACGTTCTCAAGATCTGACACTCTTCAAACCTCAGATCTGGATCTGGACCAGTCGGACCCACCCGGACGCCACCCGGACGGTATCAATGCATATACATCTAAAACGTTTCGAGAGCGGATTTCTGTGCGAGACACGATATAGCTTGAGGAAATTCGATCAAGAGCCCCCCAGCAGCCACTTCCCAATTCGCTCTAGCTTATAGCTACCCCGGGCCCTAAGGTTCGTCAGTCATTCACGCGTGCATCACCTAACTACCATAATAACGCATAGTGGTCCAATCCTTCTCGGAGTTATTTGTGTAGCGTCGATCTCCGTCCTGACCCATAACCAATGAGAAGCCGGACGATGTTTCATAATACCCTACGCAAGATTCGACGATAGTTGTGTATACTGACACTGACACTCATATGTGCACCCAACCCGACTCGTCTGACATCCAATGCCAACCCTATTCAGTCGAACTTTGGCCCTAACTCTGATTTGGCCTTCCCTTTTACTAGATACTGAGGGTCGTATGGAATGGCGCTGTTGATTGAGAATGGGCCTTGGGTTTACGAAGAACGCTACCTGACGACAGTCAAGGTTCGCCTGTGGATTGGGTTCGGTTCCGCCAACCTCCTAACCCGACCATAGCTCAGTTGGAAGAGCACAAGACTGTAATTTGATACATAGAGTTGCCTATCTTGGGGTCGCCTGTTCGAACCAGGCTGGTCGGATGATAGTTTCTAGACGGTACTTGTTTTGGACTTTGCCCCTCGGTCGAAGTCATGTATACCCTTGGAAGCGTGGTCTCGAAATCTTGTCGAATATAAAAGAAATAGAAATCATGTCGCCACATGGTCTGTATACTGTACGTTACTCTCAACGGCCAATTAGTTACAGGTGACTCGTAAGACCTTGCCGACTTGAAGTATGTACGAATAGTCACTGGTACTTCTCTGAAACCATGTGAATCGAGCCTACTTTATCTCTTCTGTGCTCCCGGTGCCCCAGACACAAGACGTTCGGATGAATGTCAGTTTGATTCAAATTGCGTGGGCTTTGGGGGGGCCTAGGCGACTAAAAGCGCATACTCCTCGGGTAGGACCCCCGAGGCCAGGAGGGATGGTTGTTACTGAATAATACACGACATGTGTTTGCGAGATTCTGTATGCCGTAGATGAGCTTTAATTCTGTCTATGTGCCACTGGGGTCCGAAGAAAGCATCAGGTGACCGCGTTGTGGAGCCGGCACCATCATCATTGTCAGTGAGTCGGGGGGGAGGGGATCCGGGTTGCCACGCTGGCTTCCTTCACTCAGACTGCAACATCCACTCACAAATCACGCTAACGTTTGCATCGCCTCTCTTCCTCGAAACATTTTAGTATTCTTTCTTTTAGTTCAACGTCTAATATACACAATTCATCGTTGGTCCTTGGACAATCCGAAAGTCTAGGTTTGGTCTTCCCAACAGCATGTACGGATAACGGTTAACTCTCCTTCGAGAGTTTCTGAGGATCGAGCATCTCAGCATGAATCCCATATCCTCACTGCCAGGCGCTCTTCCCGTTTCTTCGTCAGGCAGTATGTCTGTTATTCCTTGATCTCAATCATCCACTCCGTCCTTGCTTCTTCATTTCAAGATATCCCACTCGAGGGATCTGCGGCAACAACTACCAGGCAGGAACGAACATCTCTTTTCTGGCCTGAAAGCTTTCATGGTAGTATTCAATAGGCGGGAAAGCGTCATCTATCGATAGCCAAACAAGAGTGAGTATTTTGATATGTCATGATTATGAATCTTTCAAGTAGCCTAACCTCTTCGGTAGCAGTCCAAGTTACCTTAGACCATGTCCATAATCGATTGACCGTTTGAGTATGGTTATATTTCATATTTGAGGCGCAGCCTACTGCCTTGTGACCCTTGACGACACACCTGCACTATGCCGAGGATTGCGGAAGGTTTTACTATCCTCTGTGGGATCCGAGCCTATCGCATTCTATCCACCAAGACACCTTTCTCCTCACAGGTTTTTGTGGTGTCCCAGACTGTATAAGATTCTGCTAAGTGAACGTATAAAACGCAAATCCAGAGTGCAGAGTGCAGCTTTTAGTTTTGAGGACGTACAATACAATCGGGCTCCATTCGTACTCAGAGTAACGATCCTGGCTACGCGAACCCAGCACAGCTACTCAAAATGTTGCGACAGCTTTATTCCTCTAATGCAAAATGATTATAATACAGGTTAGACCGACGACTAAAACATGATCCCGACATGTTGAGATGTTCATGTTGTGCCGCTGTCAATTACACTCTGACTCTTCATTTAGTTCGGGCTCCGTTATGGTCACCTTTAGCTCCTCCTTGTCCTACTCTCAGATATCTGCTGTGATATGTTCTACGGCTTCATCATACGCTCCTTCCAATGACACCACCGCCTGGGTCTCCCGAGAAGGCCGGTGACGAAGATGCCTCATCTCAGCAAGCCCTTTGGCGCGCAGTGTCTATGTCGAGGGCTGTCCTTCTTGACTCATTCCAGCATTCATTAGCATCAAGAGGAAGCCACCACAAGAATGGTATGTTGTCTGAGCGCTTGGGAGGTGGACAGAATTGGAACGAGCCAAGCACTATAAATCCCACCGATTTTTCTGTACAGAGATATTCTACATCCCACACAATTGACTAACATGGGTTCTAACATCGGATTCTCAAGCTTCTTCTCGTTGTCTCATGTAGTTGCGTACCCGATCGCTACGTTCTCAGTGAGTTTTTTCAATGACTCACCCGCTGAAAACACCGCTGAGCTAACACTTCGGGTAGGTCATGTATCTAGTTTACGGTGAACCACCAATTCCTCGCGACGACACATCGGCAAGAACACTAACTCCGCTGGACAGGATTCTATGTTCTCCTCTTCATACTGTGCATCGGCATACTCAGAAGGCCCAAGGGGAGTACGGACACAAAGCCACATATATTGTATCTCTGGTCCAGTGTATCACTGTTCGTCGTGGGGACGGTCAATCTGGTCTTTTATACGCACGACACAGTTCGGGAGATAGTCCTCATCTTCATATCTCTGCAAACGGGAAACAAACAAGTCCTACTCAGATTCTTAAGCAACGACAAGCTACATAATGCGGAAGGGTATGTTCTTCGTTTCGTCGGTTGGATCGTGGTGCTGAACCTTCGAGATAAGAATCATTTGCATCTTTATCTCGATCATAGCAAAGTAAGCAAAGTCCCTATCACTGGGGTGAAAAACCCATACTCATACGGCCCAGCTGTCTCGCAGACTTGATGCTGGTAAGAGATTCTCCTGAGTTTCTTAGCAAAAGATGATCACGGAGTATGTTAACCTCGATCTCCAGCTTCACCGGTGCTACGTGGTGTGGAATCAGAAAAAAAGTGTGGGTGTTCTTTTTGTAATCACATTTTTGATCAATGGTGCGTCTTTCATCTTGAGTATCGAGTGCTGTCGAGTTTAGCTAACTTTGCTACAGTGGTGGGGATTATCTCGGTCATCTTTCGAGCCGTCGGGGCGAGCGATACAAGCAAATGGGACCTCTACCTACAAGGTGTCGATATCAGGATGGCGTACATCGTTGCACATATGATAGCGAACCTCTTGACCACCTTACTCACCGGTAAGTGGTCTGAACTGTCATTAGTCCCATTCAACTCACGGATTAAAAAAGCCTCTAGAATATGGTGGCTTTCTAAGGAAGCAAGGGAGTCACTCGGGGGTCGCATGAGAATAGGAAGACTCTATCAGAGAGTCGTGGCCGCCATGTGCGTCTATTTCTCTGAAGTTCAATTCATGGCTGGTCACCGGAGCTTAATATCTCACAAGCCTGGGATCAGGAACTCTCTACCCTATATTCAGTCTTGTTCATACCGCTCTTACAATGAGCGCCACCGAGATCGGGAGGCCCTTGGATCTGCTTCCGACAGTAACCTTAATCGCAGTGAGTTGCACTTTTCTCTATCTGATCGCAATTTACACTGCTGAATCTTCGAAAAATTTCACAGGGAATCGCTCCCGCACTTATGATCGTTCGTTCCAGGGTGTTTGAAGACTCACATGGCGACACCGGCGCCTTGTCCACGATGCGATTCGACTTGGGCAACGGGGTGGTTACAACGAGTATTGCTGGCCATGCAGTTGACCGTGCTACGCGGGACCTCGAGTCACATATGGATCCTTCTACCAATGAAGTTGGACCGAGAAGTGGCAGCGCTCAGGACGACAAAGCGGAAACCAATGTGCATGCTTATAAAGGCCCAGACTCGGAGTTAGAAAAAAAGTGATCAATAGGTTGACATCTCACCTCAGAGGCTGTTTGCATCGCCTGGGCTTGGCTTGGTTATTATACTTGAGCATGTTATCGTTTGTACTTCAATGTATCTTATCATCGCCGAGCCATATATGGGTAGGATCGCGAATCGTGATCATTATAAAGGCATTCTTGAAGACTTTACCATCACTTTATTGTTTTGCAAGCTAGTAGTTGATCCAGCTAGAGTCCATAACACGTCTTGTCGGTCCCTTCCGAGGCAGCGGGTTTCGGATCCCATAAGTGATTAACAGGCAGGATCAGGTGACCGTGTTCTTTGAGGCACCGCCACCGGTCCCGAGTTTGAGACTCTTGTTTCGGTACCCTCTTCACCTTTCGTTCGTCAACACCCAATCTTCTGCGTGTTCTGGTATAATGCCCATATTCGGTCCAACCTGGAACTTCTATGTTGTCTCTGGAATTTGGGGTGTTAAATCTAATCTCGTAGGGTACGTGGCACAGGAAGCAGTTTATGAGGTTTTGATTCCTAATCCCTTTTGCAGACTATCCCGTTTATGTCCCCAATAACTCGGCTCAGTCAGCTCTACCGCGCTGCGAATCAAAGTTCAAAGTTTGGGAGGAATACCATCAATGACGATTTTACCAACCGTAATGCCGGCCCCTCAAACCGGCCTTACACAGGAACGTTGGGTTCTGCCTTGGCGGATGGGATATGTTATACAGCCTGATTGAGCCAGGTATGTTTGACCTTCGTTTGATCAAGGCTTTAGGCAAGATGCTGGCCACAACCCGAGGTCCCAAAGGTTCATTCCAATCTGCTTCACTCACCGTAAGTAGAACCACTAGTGACGGTCTATTAAGGCACTTTGGGTCACAATGCTGCTACAAGCGTTCTAGCACGATGAGGCCGATCATGGGAAAATCCTGCCAACACGCCTAAAATCACTCCATTTGGGCCCGGAAGCTTCATCGGTCACTCCTCGAGAGGAATTTGACATGGTGGCAGGTCTCTTTCGTGCCCCACGTCATGTTCTCCTATGGAACGCAAATTAGAACATCATGGGATTGTGGATGTCAGTCGACATCGCTGCTCGTCCGGGTAAGTCATCCCATAATTCTCCTTACACGCAGGCTGCAGACGTCCGGAAGTTTACTTCCAGCCTCTTGTCCACCGTGATCGTACACTGTTGCGACCACGCTATTCTGAGTACACAAGGTGAACGAACTTCGTGTAGCACAACAAAGGTAATTGGAATGTGATGCGTGTTGGTCTGGTCCGTGAGTTCAACTTCAAACGATAACTAATGAATCTACATTCCGTTAAGAAAGATAGATTATAAGTGTAAACTATTACGCGGGGCTTCCTTTGTGCTTTCCATGAGACTATATTCATCAGTCATCTGAGAGCACGAATGAAATCGCGGCCAACTGCTAGTGC